ACCTAACAGCAGCTATCACTGTGGTAGCTGCAAACAGTGCAAAAAATAAGCATTTAATAGCCATGTTTTATCCTTCTGCTAGAGGTTAAATATTTCCAAATTATCATTACATGAACATGTGCACATGTTGAGTGTGTACCATGTTGGTTTATGATATGCAAAAAAGACATTTTAGCAGCCTGCAGATGAACATTAGCATGCAATATGAATTAATGGCTGTTATTACGCCGTGGCTGAACATTGCAGTGACGTGTTGTGTCTTTGGTTCTGTGGATCTGAAAAGGTCGATCTACCACACAGAAGAGGGAATCATGACCTATTGTTAAACAGATGTGAGGCACCCCTTTTGATTTTTACCCCACATACCGTGTTTCCAAAGGGTCTGAACAACAAGCTTCATCAGATGGTAATAAAATATTCTGTGCAATGATTTAATTGTAGTTTTCTCACTGGATGTCTAATTATTTCTCCTTTTCTTCCCTTACAGACTTGTTTAAGTTAACAGTTATTTAAATGTCCAACCAAGTTTAGACGTTATATTGATTTCTGTCTGTTCATATAATGTAGGACTCACTTTGTACAGCACTGCTAGTTACACTTGTTTACATTGCACTGTTTACGTATCTGATTAAATATATGATGTTTATACTGTGTGATTCTCCAAGTGCATCTTCTACCTCTGTCTCCGGCAACGTTTGTCTCAGAGACATGTTTTATAAAAAAATTACATGCACCAGTGACATTTCTGATATTATCTCGCCTTTGAATAATCATGCATATAAATGATTATTAAATACAAATGTATTCACATATCTCAACATGTGCTGTTTCCAGAATTGTAACAAATACTCTTTTACGTAGGTAAAAGCAGTAACACTACAATGTAAAAATTTATTTCAGTAAAGTACAAACGTATAATTAAGTATACTTCTCAAAATGTCTCAAAAATCAAAACCTCAAGTACTCACTATGGAAGCTGAATATTAGAGTTTTATTTGAATATATGGATTATTATTACTCATGCATTAATATCTAAGCAGCATTTTAATGTTGCAGCAGGTTGAGGCGGAGCTCAAACACATTATATTAATAAGCTCATATTCTATTTTTTATATAACATCTATAAAGTAGCTAGTATAGCTGTCAGATAAATGTAGTGCAGTAAAATATTTCTCTTTGAAATGTAGAGGGGTAAAACTTAAAGAAAGTACAAGCATCAAAAAATGTACATGCAAAATTGTACTTAAGTGCAGTATTTAATTGTACTTTGTTACCTTCCACCACAGGCTTGTATGTCAATTTTGATGTATGTTTCTAATAATGGAGATATTTTTGGTGTAATAAAATTGGTCCGGGTGGATCCATCTCTCCAACGTCTCTGAAGCCAACTTGATTAAAATCTTTAAATACAAATGTGATAAGTGTTTGTATAAAAATATAAAGTCAGGTGGAGAGCATCCAAGAGCTTTTTACAATTCAGTTTTTTTTATCTACTTCTTTCTTCTTTTATGTCAGTGGTTCTCTCTCAGACAGCCCTTCTCCTCACAAAGTGCCAATGTGCTCTGTGGTTTCATCCTGTTTCCACCTGAGAATACTGAGGTGCTTTATCAGATCAATTAGAATGATATGCTAAGAAGCTTCTTTCATCAACGTGTGAAAACACAAATCAGTCTGACCTAATTATAACACAAAAGGTTGTTCCTAACAGATGGCATTAAGGCATAAAACATACTGCTATGCTTGCTTTATTAAGGCCCCAGCACGCTGTATGATCTTCTTGCAAAAACAATAATAAAACAGGTTGAACAACATAAGTGAAAAAGTAAAAATAACAGCTAAGACAGGTTGAAATGGAAGGCAACAGTAAGTAACACAGAGGTTAAGCAAAGTAAATTTGTACATGAGAGCAGCTCAAACTATTTTCATTGCACACCTGATTTGCCTTTAAGATTCATCCTGAAAAGAAGCAGTGAGAGACTCACTGTGTGTGTGTGTGTGTGTGTGTGTGTGTGTGTGTGTGTGTGTGGGGGGGGGCCTGCTCCCTCTCATAAGTGGGCGTCACACTGGCAGGAGCCTTAAGAGAACTTGACTGAGTGCCATCCGGTGACACCCGCCCCGGCTCTCCTTTTTGTCTGCCTTTCCAGCTTTTTTTTCCCTGCTTATTGTCATCAGAGTCCTCTTTTTGGCTCCGCCATCCCCCCCTCCTCCCCCTCCTCCCTCTCCTCCCCCATGGCCTCTCACCATTCTTACCTGGGAGGCCACAAGTCGCTGCTCCTGCTTTTCATACTCAACGGCCTATCCATCCATCCGTCCATCCTCTCCCCTCCCCTCCCTCCCTCCCTCCCTCTCTCTCTCTCTCTCTCCCTCTCTCTCTCTCTCTCTCTCTCTTCTCATACCTCCATCTGTCCCTCGCCTTTCTTTATCTGCCTTTAAAGCAGGAGGCAGGAAAAAGGCTAGCAGGTCCTTTGTGTGGTCGGCTTCAGTTTGTGCTCAGCCAAGCGAACACAGCTCTTAAATCCAGGCCCGGGCTTTGGCACAAAAAAGAAGGCTCAGGTCTTGTAAAGGCCCCTACGGCTCACCCTATCTCTTTTTACCTTTCTCTGAATAAGACAGAGGGGCAGTTATTCTAAACAAGAGGACAAGAGTAGACGGGGAAGTGGGGGAACAAGATGCAGATGGTAAAAGGAGCGGACATAATTCTCTTCATCAGAGAGCAGCAGCAAAGACATTCTTTACTCCCTCTCACTCTCCAACTCTCTTTCCCTGAGCCAAGCAACACAGAAGCTTTTTTTTTTCATCCCGTTTTCTCCTTCAAGGCGAATGAATTAACTGAATGAATTAACACCAGGGCGGCTGCTGCTGCTGTGATCATCATCATCATCACGCTCCTCCTCATCAGCAGCGGCAGCTTTGACGAAGGTTTTTAACACCTAGACAGATCGCACTGCTGACGCTGAGGCAGGAAGAAGCAAAGATGTCGACAACCTTGTCAAAAAAAAGAAAAAAACCTCCCAAACTAGCAAGGTATCACAGTCTGAGTGCTACAGTCTTTAGCCCAGAGCCTTGTCAAGTCTCTTGGCACTACTAAAGAAACGGGGAGGAGGTGAGATGAGGAGGGAGAGGAAAGGCGGGAAGAGGATGGGTAGCGAGATACAAGGGAGAAAGATGAAGAAGCCTTCTTCAGACCAAATGTAGGAGTGAGGAAGAGATGAGAGAGAGAGGGGGTGAAAAGAGGTAGAAAGGTGAGGAAGAGGATGAGAAGAACGGGAGGAAACAAGGTGTTTAAAGCTGTTGGACGCGACGAGCAGAAACACCACATTTTTAAAGAAAGAGAAAGAGGGAGCGACAGGGTGACATGCGGAGCAGAGAGATGGAGGTCTAGGAGGAGAGGAAGAGGGGGAGTCCGGGAAAGCTGCAGTGAGGATTTTAATTAGCGGTAATTGGCCACCGAGGGAACAGAAACTGGGAGATGGGAGGCAGGGAGGGGAAGAGAGGGGAGCATAGCAGCCAGTTTTTGACAGAGTGATATCTCTCTTGCTTTGTACCTCTCTATTTCCTTCAGCACTTTTTCTATCTGGGCCTTTCCATCTTCATCTTGTTTTCCCTCTATCTTTCTCCACCTCCAACTGTGTTACTCCCACTTTCCCCAAACAGTTTCTTTCACAATTTCCCCTTAAATACGTTGCAGATATAAAGTATTTGGCATATGGGGCGACAGAAAGATATCTGTGCAATTATGCTGAAAAGCTCTGCACACTTTACTGAGCTGCAGGGTAATTTTAAAATGCAGTTATTTGGGATTTTTATGGCTGAAATCTAAAAGAAGAAATTTGAGTGCAGAGGTGTACTGTTTGGGGATGAATGGTGTTGATCATATTTATTTATTACAGCACCTTAAGTGATCTTAAAGCTGCTATAATCAATACTTTTATTTTAACTATGGATCTCATGACTACTTGTATGTGAAAGGGGTCGCTGGTAGAGGTGAACCTGCAGAGAATTGTACCCTCAGCTACAAAATTAGAGCTTTCAGCTCATTGTTTTGCTGTTCCAGCCCCCAACTCTCTTTTTTGATTCATTCTCGACACTCTGGTCGACATTGTTTTCATCTGCAGCTTTCAATAAAGCTGCTTTAAAACCCAACTAGCAGATAAAGAGAAACATAACTTCAAAGTGGATAATATGTCAATGTTGACAGCTTGTTTCTGCTGCTCCCAAGTGGCCAAAACATCAGTTAATGCGAGTTTAAAGTACTTGAACAGATTTTAATGGAAACTGGTCATTGGTTTTACTGGTTATGGTAACATTGTATTCCCCAAAGTAATTGCTGAGACCTGGGAAAGCAGCAACAATGTAAAAAACGGGGAAACACATTGCCCCTACTAAGCCATCTTTGAAGAAGTGCACACCACTGTTCATTTCATTAACAATAATATTGTTGAAAAAATGTTTGATGAGTTAAAATAGAAATTTGATAATAAAAGCTATAAAGAAATGTATGTTTTCTTTTCTTTGACGAGATGGGACTAAAATATTAGTGATGGGTTATTGGATATTTTCCCCTAATAAGTAAGAGCCCTGACCCACAAACTGCCAACTTTATGCATTATAGCAGCAAAACAAGTAACACTTTAAATACATGAACTCTGTACGCAATAGTCAGCTCCAGCTATCCACTGTGGCCTGTTTGTACTGTCACTGATTCCACCTCCTTAATACCTCCCTAATAAGGGCCCACGCCAGTCAATTTGGAAGTGTACAGCTTGCAGTCTGTCGCTGTTTTTCGTTACAAATAAAGTGTTAAAAGTTCAGAGAGCAGAGGAAGAACCTTGTGGCCTCACCTGTTCCCTCACAAACTTCTTCTCACTCAACAACTCAACCCTCCATGGCTGACAGAGTCCATTAGTTAGTTAGCTTTACTTGCCAAACAGTTGAAAATGTTAGCAAGGAGCAGCAGCTGAAAGCAACCGTGATGATGACGATGGTGAAACATGTTGAGTTTGAGGTGTTTATACGTGTGGAATCTACAGTGGATTTATTTCATTGGATTGGATTCAAACTGACAGCTGCTGAATGAAAACATCATTGGTAAGTTGTTTCATATCTATTATTTGTGATGATGGCTGTTGTAGATGCTGACTATATGGCATTTTTGACTATCTGGTTATTGCTGCTTCTGTTCTTGACCGCTGGGTATAATTGGTTATTATAATAACAGCAGGACACACATTGCTTGCAGACTTGTAGTCCAATTTCTTGTTACGTGTGGGGTTGATTATGTGGCTGTATTGTTTAGATTATATTGCTGTTTGGCTGTTTGTGCATCCTGCATCACTGAATATCAAATGCTGAATGCTCGCTGGTTCAGTCGACCTTACTGTTTTTATTCTTTTCTGATCATGGCTCTAAAATAGCCTATCAGGAGTTATGATGCTTAAATATCAGCAGGTTGCTGTTTAATGATGAATCCATATCACTGGTGGTGAAATAGCACACCTCATTGTTATGCGCATTTGTCTCCATTTTGCCTTCACAGCCTTCCATTAGCCCTTTTAAGGGACCACTACAGGTGCTCGCCCCCTCTACAATGAGACATCGGCTCTGTGTATGTTTACATCTTTTAACAAAATGTGTAAGTCCATAGCTTACTGTCTTTGTCTAGTGTTTGGATGCACTGTGTAGAAAAAGTCCAGAGTTCCTGGATTTAACCTGTCTCGACGTGCTTGGAGCACTGACCAGCTGAGCTGACCATTGAATGAGCTTGTTTGAATGCACAGCACCAAGCATGTGAGTGTGTTTGAGAGACAGAGAGAGACAGAGCAAGAGAAAGAGAAGGTGGGAGGTAGACTACTGCACGCAATGTTTCTGCAAGTTATTAATAACTTACACGCTGCTTTGTCACTTGACTCACCCACCTGAGCCTGTGATATTTTCTAGTGAGTCGAACCAAGCCTGCCTGACCTGCGGGTTGTGTGACGGTTGGGTGTAACGCATTACAAAATAACACATTACTGTAATCACATTACATTCGTCTGTAACGCAGTAATGTGACACATTATTTTTCCTAAATCAGCAATCACATTACAGTTCCTAATCAAACTATTATCTGAGTAATGGACGGATAGAAAAAAAACACTGCTTCCTTGCCTCGATAAGGAGTAAGCGGCTTCCTTTAACCGCGACACTGAAGTCATTGAATATTTATAGTTGGGGTCAGAGACTGAGAGTCTGAACAGTTTTCCTACAATATCCATGAAATTCAACACAGCGATGCTGTTTAGTGCGCCTGTGGTGAGGCTCTACAGCCTGAGCAGTCTTGTGCCGACTCCGAGGAGGAACAGGTTGTCCGACAAACACAGACAGTCAAATAAGCTGCAGTAGTCTACTACAAAGCCAGAATTTGGTATGCAAGTAACTTGGCCCGTTTAATGCAGCGCATACTGCGTGATGTTGCGGGGTAATTAAGTAAAGTAATTTAATGAATGGTACGGTCACCTTGATTCCAATCACCAATACCTGTATTAGCCTAATTGAATTGGTTTAGAGAGAGAAAACATTTGGACTAAAAGTTGACTAAAATTTAATGACTTTTTATCGATGGCAGGAACCAGTCTTGTGAAGTCCGGTTGAACTGAACCATACGGCGTTTACCCCCTTGGTGGGTGGGTCAGTGTGACTGGTGCAGACCAAACAACTGCTCTCTGGTCTGCTTCGCTTACGGCTGTTAAGTGAACTCTGGAGTGGTTTATTTCTAGTGTGAAGGCCCTCCAAACCGATTACAGGGAGTGTACCATTATGTGTATGATTTCATTGGTTCTCTTCCTGTTTTGTGGACTGGTGAACTGCTCATCAGAGCCAGCTGCCTTCTGCAATAAGACTGTATGATGGAAGAGCGTCTCCCTCGAAATGCCTGCATTATTAAATTATTTAATACCCGGTGCAGAGCTTTCCCTGAAAAAATGCTGTATTAAGTTACTGCTAATGCAAAATGAACATTTCCCATTACTGCAGCTTCACATTAAAAGCATTTAACTTTCAAAACACAAGTTGATTTTCCTTATGAAGTAGTCACAGGAAACCCAATGTGTTTGTCCGGGACATTAGCAGTGACTATCAGAAATTAATCTACAAAACAGGACAATGGTCACTTTTGGCATGTTTTGACAACGGATCAGTTTGAAATATAGCAGGGAGTAATAGAACAAGAAGTAGCAGCCACTGTGAGCTACATGAGAGATGAAGGGCTGCAGGCGACACACTGCAGCTGCACACATCCAACTTCTCAGCCAGGTAACCAACTCCTTTCACTGTGTCCTGTTGTTCACAGACTCAGGACGTCTGCAGCATAAAATCACATCAAAGAAGGATGGAAAAGGCCAATTATTGCCTGACTACTTAATTACAACAATAATAGTTTTTTTTGCTGCCTCCAGTATTCTGTGACCTGCAGAATTTAACTGCATTTACCAACCAGTAACTACAGGTGTGACGTGGACAATAACAATGTTCTGCAAAATAGAACCGGCATAAACCGGTTAAAGTTGGTTTATATTCCCTGCCAATCAGGAACCCATTGTGCAGTTACTTTTCCAGGATTACAGCTTTTGACCATTACTACTCAGGAAGCTGCGTCCCAAATAATTGAACCACATCTCCACTACAAAACTTCTGGACTGTTTGAGTTTTGCCTTTGTGAACGCACACCGGACCAGTTGGAAAACAATCATCCTCTCATTGGTTTGATTCAGGAAACGTTTTGTAACTAAAACTATGGAGGAGAAAAATGAATAAGCATTTTCATTTGAAGACAAAAACTTTGACAAAACCTAAAATAGCTGCCAAAATTTACACTGGTGTGCACAACTATGATAAGTACGGCAAGTCAAAGTTAAACCAGGAAGTTGGTCTGTAAACTGTGATGTTCAGTTTGAGTAATAAAGTTTGTCTCACTGATTGTGTGTGTTGCTCTGTTGGACCTATTTTTAGTCTTAGGAATAATTTATTCATTTATTTTTTACAATTTTGCCAACAAAACTGCCAAAACTGCAACTGCCAGACAAATAATGTGTCTGTACTGCGCTCATGGAAAACTACTAAGCTGTGGAGTTGAGTGGAGTACTTTATGTCTTACATTTTGATGTTTGCACTGTATTTGCATTGCTGTGATGGCTATTAAAGGTTGTCTATTAAGTCTTTGTACTGACGTTACTAAAGAAGAGTGCTGCCTTTACTTGATGTGAACAGCAATTATGGTTCTGACCTCATGTTGTCAATATCTCTGTCTCTGTCTCTTTAGACCCGCCCTCGGCACCTTCCCTCCCCAGTGTGTCACAACGTTGTATCTCGATGTGTTCGGCAGGGGAGCGAGGGCCGGATGGGGAGCAGGTTAGCAGGGTTACAGCTGTGTTTATCGGTACACAGGTGAGCTCTGGGGCGCTGGGTCGTCTGGACAACACATTCAGCCCACGCTCCCCACTCTGGCAACCACACAAAACACACACAAACGCACACCTACACAAGTGCACATGCATCTTACAGCATGCAGCTGGCTCACAAGTGAGCAACACATTCATTTTATGCACAAACAGATCTCAAACCGTTCCACTCTTAATCAAGTCCTCCCAATTACAGCAGCTCATATGCCCCAAAGTTGACAGGCTGCTGATTTAACTGCCTTTAAGTTTTAGTTAATATGTGAATTTAGGCAGGGTCTGCTTGAAATTTTCCAGCTGTCATTTGTCAACATCCTCAAATTGCATGTGACTCTTGCTAAACAGCAGCGGTAGTGTGCCATGCGCTCTGGGTGTTGCTAGGTTACGGTACTGGGATGCTGCTGGCTAAGTGGCTGCGGGATCATCGACGGACATTCTGCATGGAGGGCTGACAGCAGGTTCTCTGGACTATTTGGCATCTCGTGAGTCAGATGCTCTTGAAATCCCACATCTGGTGGCAAGCCCGTACAAATCAAGATCAAAGTGTTGGCTTTGAGATTGGACCTGTCTCTCAACCTCTCTGCCTCTCTCCTGTCGAGTTTCATTTTCAGATCGTTCCTTTCCACGGCAGCGCTCTGCCTTTACATAGTCCTCTGCCTACTTTGTTATCCCTCCTTTTGCTTCCCCTCTGTTGTTGCTGTCTCGCCGCTTTCTCCCTCCTGCTGAGAGGTAATCAAGCCCTGTTGTGAGTGTTTAAGCATTGAAGCAGACGCATGTTGAATTATTCTTGGGACTTAATATTTTGTCTGGGAGGAGAGAGCCAGTCTTCATACCACATGCTGGGTAACGGCCACGCACACATGAATGCAAGACAGAGAGGCACGCGCGCACACACGCACACACACACGCCCACACATAGTTAGTCAGTCAGTGAGTCAGAAATACAGTCAGTCACATAGATCTCATGCTGACAGATAGTTACAGGTAAGAGAGTGATAGGACCTGACAGGCAACCCACACTGTATAAACTGATATAATACACTTAATGCAACACCGACACAAGTAAAGACTGCATGCACAGGCTCTGTACCAGACTGTACTATGGAGTATATCAACAGGAGGTACACAATCACACTGTGACAAGCAGCAGCATTCACTCATGCACACAAATATTGCAGCCAACATACTCAAAGTTACACAAGTGAACCAACAAAGAACAGACAATGTAAGAACTCATCTCTTCCTAATTCCCTCCTGTCTTCAGCTCCCCACACATCCATCCCCTCCCCCACACTGCTTCGTTTTATTTATTTTTTTACCACGCTCCCACTCTCTCCTTATCTATCTCTTTCTACTCCTGCTCTCCATTCTGCCTTGAGCTTGCTTTTATCGTTGCTTTTCTCTCCTTTTTTCTCTCCTTCTTTCACTGTGAACTTAAACTCTCCGTGGAACCGTAAGCTGATATCACAGCGTTTCAGTGTTCCTTTAATCTCTCTCTGACACACATACACACACATCAACACACACACCTGGGTGGTCATTATAATACACAAAGCTTGGCTAGGGCAGTATTGAGATCCCTATTGGTGTCGTGCTTTTTGGGTGAGATTACAGTGGTGGACAATATAATCATTAATTCCCGATGAAAAATCTAATTTAAAATGGAGCGGGGTGTACAAAAATGCCAAATTATTTGCTGGTTCAAGCTTATTAAATGTGCAGATTTGCTGCTTTTCTGTGTTTAATGATTCAAAAGTGAATATTTCAGAGTTTTGGACTGTTTGTCGGACAAACTTTGGGCTCTTACAGCCTAAAAGCCTTTTCCATGAATTATTGTTTGCCAAAGTTTCAATTTCTATATGGAGAACAGTTTTTGTTCAGTTCAGTACACTTTTTACTGCTCATGCTAACAACCCAGTCTTTCTTCAAAATATCCTCAAAATAAACCAGAACACCATTCTGATACAATATTTTAGCCGTTTTAAAGATAAGCAAAATTAAACAAAACACCATTAAGGGCATACATAATGAAACTGATCTAAACAGCTGATTTAAAAGAACCATTAATGTCATCAGTGTCTAGAAACAGGAAGATATAGTACTTTTAATTTGTAGTTTTCCGAGTTGCTGTTTCATTCTTCTTATTAATATCTACATTGAGAGCTGATTCTCTCCCCACAGTCGCATTTTGTGTCTTAGACGTCAAGAAAGTTGGGGTTTTTTTTGGAACTAAAACACCTAGAAAAGCTTTTCCTGTCATGTTGAATCTTCAGTTTCGTCACATTATACACGCTGCACTGGAGTGCCACTTAATAATTGAGTGCCATTTACTGTGCTATAAATGGAAAGCAGTAAGTGACATTATTACGGATACCTAGATGGACTGAAAAGGAAAACTGATCCACTTTGAGTTCTTTTGGCAAAACAGTTCAACTAAGTTGGGTACAAGATTTCTGTGACGAACACTAAAAGGTTCCTGTTGGACAGCACAGTTGCCTTATTCAATGTTGATTTGTGTTTTTTTTTATTCATGACCCTGTTTAATCTTTATTCATCTCGGGATAATCAACTGTGCATCATGCTCTTTTTCAGCAACACCTTGCATCACTGTCACACTTTCCGACACCTGGGAGCAGTACAGTAAAACCACACCGAGCAGCCTCGCCAGAATAGCTGCAAGTTACACAAACAATCCCACATTTTATACTCACACTTTGCTGGGAGGCCGTAGCCACAAGTGATCTTGGCCTCTCCGGTCTCGCAGCCGTGGAGGGAAGTGCACTCCTTCACTAGCATCGGACCTGCAGCGCGGTGGATCGCTCCATCCACTGGAGAAGAGAGGACAAGATATTCAGGGAGTTGGCCTACTTGCGTGAATCCCCTGCAAAATCTGACTTCTTACAGGGAGTCAAAATGTTGTTTGAAGTCCAGCAGACACATTTACAGGTGTCAAAGCTTAGTGCTGAAAGGACCTGGGTAATGTCGGTATTAGTGGTGAACGGTTGAGTTTTCATCTTCTGCAGGTTGCTAACTTTTCACCCTAAATCCTACTTTTTTTCTTTTATTAAGTCAAAGCATCTGTCTCGCTGTACGTCAGTCTATTTAATGGATTTTAGGGCTACTGCCTTAGTTAATTACTCGATTTAATGTCTTATTAAGGACTCAGCTGACTTTGACTTTTTGGTCAATTAGTCTTTATTAATCACATTTTCATAAATCTACATAATATTCAGAAATGTGTATCTATCTTTGATCCACACCACATCTAAAGACCGTGACTGTGTTCATTTCCAGGAGGGCAACGATGCAGGAAAAGCAATTTTACAGCTGTGCCAATTAGAGACACGCAGTCACAATCTTTTCACTGCTTGCAGTTAGACACTTTCCTCAAAGTTAATATTTATACCATCTAGATCTCAGCAGCTTTATTATTATGATTCTCAGCATTATGGACCCAGGAAAGCATCGGAACCAAATCATAGTTGACACAAATTAAGGTAAAATGGGAACAACAGATTTGAATGCTACAATGCAATAATAACAAGGTTGAATCAGAGTTACTTATGCACAGCTTTCCCCCATCTTTCCTGTCACATTCAACGTTACAGGCAGCCAATCAGGAACCTGTTTTAGGAGAGAGGCTAAAGACCCATTCCTTGAGAAATGTAAATCCACCTGATTTACATTTCTCATCACACTAACACTATCGGGCAAGTTTTTAAAGATGTATTTTTTCTGGCATTTTATGTGAAAGTTGTCAGTGTAGATATTAAACAAGGGGAAAGAGAGATGACATCCAACAAAGATCTCTGGCCCCATCGACGTTGCAGTTCACGGTCTTAAACCCCTCGGTCACCGGGGCGCATGAAAGATGCGTCGCAAAATGTTTATACTGAATGTACCTGAGAAATATCCACTGACAACACATCAGATTTTTCAATACAACCATTTCTAGTTTTTTTTTCTTTGTGCCCTCGAAGCACTTAGGTTAGACAGGACAAGACACGACAAGATCGAGCTCTTGGTTAAATAATGGAGTCCACAATGACTTGAGGCATAAGACAGGATAAGTCCACTTCATTAATATTTAACCAGAATCATGATCTTAGCCTTAACCAGTCTGTCTGCCCAAACCAAACTACATGCAGAACTCAACCTGCAAACACCAGGCTCCAGTGTCAAAGCTGTGAGTTTTACACGCCACTGTTGGCCCTGACCACCCCCCTACAATTTCTATCCGGTAAATAACAGTGCTGCCACTCAACATAATCCTGGCAGCAGTTATGTTTCCCTCAAAATGTAGCTGGCAAAACAAATTACTATGAATGCCATTTCCAACTGCCAGGGAAAGACAGTATATATCTTAATATTAGAGTGTTACCAGTTGCCTGTGTGCCAGTAACTTAACCATCACCTGCTTTCACAGCCTGGTATAATCCTGACTCAAGACTCTAATGTAATATCTAATGCAAGAGTCTGGTGTAAACAATTCATAATTAACCCAGAATAACTGAACACATCTGTCAGGAATGGTTTTGTCACCGCACTGTGAGAATTGTCAGCACTTGGTGAAAATAGTACAATAACACCCATCCATATGTCACAGCTCAGTGTGTTGGCCTGTGGCTCTTATCTCCGTCTGACTGTATACAGACCAGCTGTTACAGCGGTGTGTTTCTCCAAACTGAGGAGCTGCAGGCGGGGGTCTGCTGTTATCTGAACGTTATTGTGTTAAGTTGGCATATCGCATGCGGTGCTGAGCTGTAGTGTGTCATGTCATGCTGTGCCATGTTGAACTGGGCCGCACTGTAAGCTAAGCACAAGTGTAAGGGTGTGAAAGGCGAGCTCTGAAACGCTGGCTATCTCCTCAGGGTGCACAGAGACAAGTTCAGATACCATGCTCATGCTGCGTGTGTGTGTGCATGTGCACGACTGAAATATGGCTGGTGTGTGTATATCCTGTCAAAGCGTGTGTGCTACTGTGCACAGAAGTATTTATGTGTGTGTGAAGAGTCCTTGAGGTGACACACACACACACACACACACACACACACACACACACACACACACACACACACACACACACACACACACACACACACACACACACACAGAGCACACACCAACTTTGAAGCAGCCCAAGTCTGAAATAGAGAACAAGTGTGATAAGACGGAGAGATGGAACAGAGAAGGAGGGAGGAAGGGAGGGGAATAAGGGAGAGAGCAGCAGATGTAAAAATAGTCTGGGGGGAGATAAGGAAACAGGCAAGAAAAACAGAATCAAAAGAAAAAGAAAGGGAAATTGAACTGAAACGTAAACCAACAATGCCTTTTGTTTTGTTTCATGCTTAATGTTTGGCAGATACACGAATGTGTATGTGCATGTGGGTGTGTGTGTGTGTGTTTGTACATGTGTGTGTATTATGGTGAAAGCTGGATTCTTCCCCCAGTCTTTATGAAGGGACTGCACAGCCTTGAGCTGCAGCAATGCTTTTTCACCTGACTGCATACCTATAATCACGAGTAAGTATCTGGGGTTACTGTAGACACATTTAATTAACCAAAATTATTTCAGCCTTATCCTTCATAGTTTCCAACAAGTCCTCCAAATTAAACGATAAAATATGTTATTTGTCCATACCCTCTGGGATCCTCTCTGATCTGACACAGGATGACTTCATCCGTCTGTGCTAAAGCTATTGAAAAAAAGAGCTGCACTCTCCCTAGACTTGTTGTCATTTAAAAAATGCAGATTATTCAAACACTATCATGATGTGTGTGTTAAGGGTCGTCCACACCAAGAACGATAACTATAACAATATCTATAAATACATCTTTTTAAAAATCGCTTTAACTCAAGTGGATGGTGGACAGTGGTGAACGCTATCATTGGGACCATATTCAGAGCTATTTGTACGATATTGTGGTATATAACGAATTAAACACTTATATAACATATTATTAGGCCGCAAATCACACAAAAAAGACATACGGCTACACTGTCTTTAGTGCTGATGGGGTCTCTGAAGTCTTTAATGATGTCTTCTTTTTTTATCAAAGTATGAATAAAATTTGTCTTGTCACCTTATAACTCCTCTTGTCTTTGAAGAATTTTGTGAAAGCAACATCCTTCTGGTTTCCCTTTTTGTTTCTCTGTTCAAGGTACAGCAGTAACAGACCATCAATAATTTGATCCATTTTCCCATTAAGATGCTGTCACAGGAGTGGGCAGCGCATGCTTTTTTTTGGGGGGGGGGGGTTATCGTTCATCAGTGTGGATTCTCACATTGTTATTGTTATAGTTACAGTTCTTCTTATAATTATAGTTCTTGTTATAGTTCTTGTTATTGTTATAGTTCTTGTTATAGTTATAGTTATAGTTCATGTTATTGTTATAGTTACAGTTATAGTTCATGTTATAGTTATAGTTATAGTTATAGTTACAGTTCTTGTTATTGTTATAGTTACAGTTATAGTTCATGTTATAGTTATAGTTATAGATATAGTTATAGTTCTTGTTATAGGTGTGGACGACCCTTTTTGCTTGATCATATATCGACGATTGAAGAGATGATGAAACTTGGCTGATTTTCAACCAGCTTTGTATCATTACAATAAATGCAGAACATGCAAATAAACAATAATTCCCCTCCATGTTGCCTGCACCCAGAGCTCCCCAATCATTTACTCATTTTGTGTCAGTTGGCAGTGTTGGCTGTTGCCCGAACTTTTTTTTTTTTTTTTTTTTTGCCCACCTTCACAGACAGTTGTAACAAGAGAGGGGCAGGAAAAAAACAATGTTAACAGTGTAATAACAGTGTAATGCTGGAATCATATATTTAGGGCTGCAGTCCGGAGGAATTATGGCATATGAAGGAGGAAGCACCCCCCAGGTATTATTATATATTGCACCAAGGCTTTTGGGGCACATATGGAGTGTTTGAGACATACTGTACTTCAGGACCCTGAAAAGGAACTGGAAAGAACAACCAAAGCCAGCGGGACAAAACGGATGAGCATAGTGTAAGTAGCTTGCATTAGCAATGTTAGTAGCTCTGACCAGCTGTTTGTAGGAGTCATGTGGCACCAATTTCAAGAATATTTGTGCCTTTCTACTACATAGACAGCCAAATTTTATTTAAAGGAGCAGAGTGGTGAAATATCCCTTATATTCCTAATATTCCTAAGTTAGCTTGCTCATTGTCAAATGGGAATGAATAATAGAGGGGACAAAATAAACCTCTCTCTCTCTCTCTCTCTCTCTCTCTCTCTCTCTCTCTCTCTCTCTCCCGGCTAAACCCGCCAAGCAGGGTTAATAAAAATCCATACACCTATTAATTCCCTCCGTGACTCCCACCTGTGTAATATAGAGAGCTGTCCCTCTAACTACATTCACTGAAGACAGCCTGTGTTAGCTTTCTTTCAGACTGTGGTAACTTCTGACTCTGTGGGAGCCAGTGTAATAGCCCAGCATGAGCACCGCACGCTACTGAGAAGATTGAGACACTGTTCTGTCACTTCAATACGGTCAGAAATACGAAGGGGGAATTCTTGAGCAGGGGGGACTGCAAATGAAAGATGCGTTTGAATTAAAGCTGCACCAGCAGTAGTTTTTTTCCTTCTCTTAGCCAAGGATTGGCCTGTGACTGTGAGAAACAATATTATCTATTACTTCTACAGAACAATATCAACTGAAATAACTTCATTACGACTGGATTTTCTTCATGAAATATTTAACTTTTTGAAATGAATAAAAAAAGAGAAACAATAAGAATTGCTCTGCATTGGTTTCTGCAATGGCATACATGTGATGGTTGTTTCATTTGAG